CGTTAGTGCCTCGCTGCACTTCCACCATCGACGCGCGTAACGGGTTTCGCGTTCACGTAGGTCCGCGTGTGTGTGTACGTCTGCTGAGGTAACACACGAAGGCGGCGGGCACCCAACCCCCCGACATACGTGCGACGATTAGGAGCCGCGTGCGAGCATTAGCTCCGAATGGTTACGTGTGTATTCGGGCGACGGTCGGGAGTTTATCGAGTCGATCCCGAAATAAGTTCGGCGGGTCGGTATTTTCGTAAAAACAAACACGGAAAATGCCACGTTATCGCGAGATAGCGTGAAAATTGTATACGACACGATGATTGTGATTATATTAAAATGTCGTATTTTTTGCCACTACGTTAATATTAAATTAGTATTATAATATTAAATTAGTATTATATTAACAATAATGTTAAAATATATTAAGAAAATTGGAAATGCCTTAACTTTAATCGATCTGGCTGTGTAAAAAACAGTTGCATCGATATTTCTAACAGCGGAAAAATTACATTGTTATAATGAGATTTAAAATGCTTTCGTCTAAAATATAATATATTTTTTTCTCCTTTTTTCTTATCGCACAAATAACTTTTCTTTCAATCTTCAGTTATAAATATTCATACCTTAATTTCTTTCGTTGGGGTTTGCGAACAGAATAATTTCAAGCATTTAAATAGATATTTCTATTCCACCACCGTTCCATCTTTCTAGAGCATATCCACTATTCAAATATGTAAATTTGTTTTGCATTCTCCGTAAAAATAAAAATGGAACTTCTGAAATGAGAAAAGGAAAAGAGAAATTACAGTTTCTAAGCAAGGAAGAACACAGTTTTTATCTTAATGGTCTAATAGTTTTTCCCTATTTTTCTAGTAAAATTTAATGCAAGAGACCCTTCATAATGGCGGGGGATATAACAGTGATACCGGCGGGAGATTATAATTAACCCTTCGAATCAACCCGATCATTATCATCCCCTTTCTGAACAATATTGCTTGCTCGATGGACTTCGGGGGAGCGCGCGGCGAGTTACGCACTTTATTAAAGCTAAAACTTTGCGATTTTACATAAATAATCGTTACAATGCAGCCCTCTCCGTCTGTTCACTTTCTTTCGACGAGGCCTTGTATCACTCTCGCTCCGACAACCGGCTTTTACACAAACGTTCCTACACGCGATCCTGAATCTCGCGCTTCGATCTCATACGAGAATTATATCGGGCACTGCGGGCCGGCGCTCAAATTTCTGGCTTTGCGACTCGCCAAATGGCGAACGTTTCCTCGCGGCGAAGAGCAAACATCGGCCGAGCATCGCCTCGCGTCGACGTGCATATCTATTACTTAAAGAAAGGTAGCAATTCTCGGAAGAAGTTACGAGTTCGCGGCTTCGTCGACATCGACGTGGCGATGGCGACGCGAATCGATAGAGTCTGGCTGAATGCGGGGCCCTATAACAGTTTCTGTCTGCCGACACAGATAGATAGATGGGCAAAGAGAGAAAGAGAGAGAGAGAGAGAGAATGAAAAGGGAGAAGCCACCCTCATTATCTATGCACACCCTTAAATAATTGCGGCTCGTTCGCGCAAATTATCCCGGAGTTTCCGCGTCGACTAAAGTAAAATATAATAACACGGTCGGTGCGTCGCGCGCGTGCGTGCACGTAATACGAGTGTCTTTCTCGCCTCGTCTGGGCGATTTGCTCGGGTGCACGCTCGTACGGGGCCCGTTCGTGCACGGCCGATCGCTTCTACGTAAGTACGCTTAGGCGTCCGGACCACTTACGCGGAACACAAAGTGTGAACGTGCGTTTAAGTCCCCGAGTCGTCATAAAATTCCTAGAGAAGGGAGGGAGTAATAAGATCTCATATCGCGATCATCTGTGTTTTCGCGTTTACGTCTCGAGTCGATCAAAGAGGATCGAAAACTGACTCAGTTCGGATTCAGTTGTCTTTTGTATTCATAGAGGATGCCGTTCTAATGATAGATGCATTAACGAAAAGGTGTTGAAAGGTGCTATTTTTATTGTTTGTTTGTTTGTTTCAGAACGAGCTTCCAGTTCTATGCTGGCGAACTTTTTCGGTGAGTCAATGTTTTCCTGTTGTATAAAAAGTCATGTTGTTTACGTAGCATGCAACTTTACATAAACACTATTTTAAACCACTTGGAACTTTAAATAAATTGACATTCAATAATAGCTGAAATTCGCAAAACTATTTCGCACATGGTAACTCATGTATAAGTTTGACGCCTGATGATTATTGTTTTATAAGAAATTTTTGAAAACATCAGCAACTAATAACATTTCATCTATTTGCTATCTTAAATACTACCGTTTCCGAGAGACGACGATGCAATTTCGGTTACTTCAATATGTGGTGCACGCTCGTGCATTAGTAAACAGATCCTCGCGTGCTACCGAGTTTTCCGATTTTCCATCAAAATTTCTCTCGATCGCGAGGAGAGCGAAAAGTGAAGCGGAGGGTAATCTCGTAGTTGGCACGGTGTAAACGCAGGCGTGTAACACACCCGAGGTGGTCGTCGGGATGCGCGCGATTACTTACTCTGCGCCGGCGAATTAACGACGAATCACCGATGGGAAAACCGGTTGCCGGTCGAACGAACGGCACGCAGCCTAACGACTTCTCTCCTCGGCTTCAACGGGCATTCCAACGGCACGAGTTCGCCCCGCGACGCGAATTAATGGAAACACGCCGCGGCATGCCGTATGCGCTGATAAAGCGGAACGTCCTCCTACCTCTCTATCCCGCCGTTGTCGCGCGGTGTGTTCCGTCACATTCGGTATTAAGCGATTCTCCGCCAAATCGTCCTTTTCTTGAAAAAGTACGACCTAAAATAATTTAGCAAGTAAATCACAGAAAAGAAATTAGCGATTTAATCAATTGTACACAGTCGGAAATTAACCCAGACAGCACAACATATCCAAAAGACGTCCAAAGGATATCCCGAAGACGTTTTTGGGACGACAGGACGTCCTCTGGATATCCTTTGGATGTATTTTGGACATGTGTGCTGTCTGGGAATCAATTCAAGCCATGAAACCATGATTGCAATTCTTAGTAACTATAATGTAGTTAATAGCTCGTACCATTGTTTTTTAAATTTGAAATGATTTATTAAATTAAAAATAATCTTGTTGTAAAAATAGTTTTTAGTTTACTGCTTTTTTATAATTGTAGGTAGAAGTATTAAAAAAAGTAGCTAAACTAATAATTACTTTTAACAAGATTATTCTTAATTTAATGTACAATTCTAAAGAATTAAGTAAAAGAAAATTATTTGATACAATGTTATTTTTCATTTTAATGCTCTAGCAAGGTATATAAATATCTGTACAGGCTTTTTATTTTGTGTACTATTGATCTTGCTGACTTGAATTTTGTTGATAAGGAGTTTCCGGTTAGTTATTATAGCTCTGTGTTAAAAGAAAACATGTTTTCATGTGTGTTATTTATTCCACGGATCGATATGCATAATCTGGTTTACATTAAAAAAAAACTGGCGCAACAATCACAAGTGAATGAAAATGTCCATGCAGAATAATAAAAGTTCGAGAAGCAGTTATTTTTATGCGCTGATGAAGTAGATGAACTCTTCCTGCGCAATTTTTTCCCTTTTCGTGATATGTTCCAGTGCGTTTGAAATGAAGCGATTCCGCATTCGCGTATGAACACAATTGCCGCGTACCGAATTACACGAGGCAAGACGAAACATGAAGATCGCGTTATAATCAATCGTGACTGTCTTTTTGCCGCTAAATATTCCTTCCTGGATTAGACAATCTTTCAGCATCCGTACGCACTCACCGTGAGAGCTTCGTTTGCTCGTTAATGAAATAACTGACGCTTTCCCGTGTAATGCATTAAGGCCGTTATATCAATAACGTGAGATTAGAATGACCGATTCTCCGGCCGGGAAGTAACATACGTACATATTAAGATGCACAGGACACATTCAGAAAGATTTATAATAACTGGAAGAAATATTCTATGTATATTGACAAGTTAATGAACAACAATTTGTACGTTGAAAAGTTAAAATACAATAGAACACGGAAAATTGTATCGTGCGAATTGTATATTCATGAACTGTAGGGCGCACGAACGAGGTTTATGCTTGAAAGGCCATCTCGTTTATTTGATTGCGGCTTTAAGAATTTTCTCGCAATTTCGAATAAAAATTAAGCCTCGCCGTCTTAAAGTGATGAGGGTTAATTGGATTTAGCTTATCAGATTCTGGACTCCGGACTTATTTACAGCCGATCATTTCGCGAGTGGGCCGTCCGCGTATGTTCGCGACAATGTAGCAAATTAGGTTGCGCTCGGTCTTTGCCTTTTACAAGACGATTCCAGCGGGCATTCCAACGGCACACGAGTTCGCCTTGCAGTGCGAATTAATGGAAACAAGTCGCGGCATGCCGTACGCGTGCTGACAAACCGGAACGTTTGCCATTCCGCGTCTTCGTTTTCTACGCGCCTTTCCGATGGTTCCGGTGCGCGTTTGGATTAACCGATTTCGTGTTCACGCATGTGGAAAAGTGTAAAGAGATAAAGATGTAGACACGTAATGTCGCGTTAACATTTGTAACACGGCCCATTCGCCATGAATGCCAGGAATATTTAAACGCCCGTGGCATTCCTGAAATGCTTTCTTGTCACACGTATTGGTAACATTTCTCCAATTATCTCAAAACAGATCGAAGAAGTAGATAATATATCGCCTAGAATATTTACTCTTGTCTAAAGTGTAAATTTTTGTTACATTATTTATTTTCCAGTTCTTGAATTGCAGAATCAAGGTTAAGTTTATAATTTTTACGATATCTATTTGTAATACTTTTTCGCGCTACAAGAACAAGCGTTGTCTATGAGGTTTCGAAACAGAGTTACATCCGATTCGAATGCTCGAAATTAAAGTCGCTTTGCACCTTTAGCGCGCGATGATGGTAATTTATTGAATTAAATGAGAATTTGTCGCTCGACAACGATTCGAAGCGGCTATGATTGTCCCGGTCGGTGTAAATGCCGCAGTTGAAAATCAGGTTTAAAAATTTACTCTCTCGGGTGGCAATGACATCGTCGCGATCTTGTAAAGAGTTAACTTACCTCAAATTGCCTAACGACGTCGCCTCTCGGCTTCGACGAGCATTCCAATGGCACGAGTTCGCTCGGCGACAGAATAAATGGAAATACGACAGCGCGCCGTATGCACTGATAAACCGGAACATCCGTTCAACGCGCCGTTCTATTCACATAACTGCCTCAGCACATTTTATATCAAACGATTTAATCCCACAACGCTCGAACGAGTTGCTGTTAAAAAAAAAACAAATATTTATTCAAATAATATTAGGTTATTGCTCTTCCTTAATTAAATTAAAAATCGTTTAATATATTAAAGCCAATAGAGCAAGAGCTGGATCGATTTGCTCAAAAATTCCTTTTTTTATTATAAATTTATACAGACGTTTCGGCCAAGGTACGTGGCCATCTTCAGTGTAATACAAAAATTATAAAATTTAGTACATGATTAGAGAAGCGTTGGTAATAATTTTTGACTAAGGAAACGCATCCTGTTAAAGTGAAAATAGAACAACCAAATTAGGGGTATTCTCACGGCTCAAACAAATTATTGAAAAAATTCTGTGTATAAATACCTCTGATAATACGTGTAGTACAATATTTGTGGTTAGTAAAATTATATACGTGTGAAGCCACGGACCGTCTAACTTGCAAAATTAGAAAAACAAACCAAATTGAAAGAAATTATAAAAATTAGTTAAAACAAGTAAAAGACATGAAAACATAAAAAAAAATAAATTAATTTTGAATATCTATACCTTGAACGGTTCGTCAACGACTATGTAAAAGAAATTAAAACTGTGACATGCGTCCACGGCTGTGAGTGGGATTCGACTGGTAAAGATGTAGGACTTGTAGGACTGGTAAAGATGTAGGATGAAAAGGAAAGAAGGGATAGGTTATAGACGAAAACTACAGGGTGGGGAATTTTTTGACTATTGGAAGATATGTATCCGGTAATAATTCTGTGTCCTCCTGTTTATTCAGTCTTGTATTCTGTCTTTTTATATGTAGCATTTCGGAAGTTAGTCTTTTACTGTAACAAGGTTCTCTGTCTAATATATCAATTTCGTCCCATTTGAAATATTTATTCTTCAAACGCAACGTCGATTAATCAAATAAATTCATATCAATCGTGATATGTAGATACACAACATTGTTCTTTACTTTTTTCAATTCTGCGTATTTTGTAAAATTCAATTTCGCATTTGCTGAAGAATGTGTCGATAAGAGAATGCGAATTTTATTTCACGTCGTATACATCGTGTCACTGAAGACTTTCATTTTGATTATTTTCTTAATTAAATGAGAATTCCACCAAGATTTATACAAATACCGGTGCGCTATTTACAATTTATGTGTGAAATGAAGAGCTTTCTTTGCATGTTCCACGTCGGCTTAATTCGCGCGCGAAAGTTTTTAACATTGTCGAAAAGCGTCTCCGGAACGTAAAACGAACCTCGCTGGCCGTTTTTCAAGACTCTCATCGGTAAAATACAGTTCCTTAACAAAACGCCCGGTACTCCCAGCGTCGTGGACAGGCTAACGACTTCTCCGCTTGACTTTAATGGACATTCCACGGCACGATTTTACTCGGCGATTTGAATTAATGGAAACACGCTGGCATCCCATTTGCACTGATAAAGCGGAACGTCCTCTTGGGGTTCCCCCTCCCCCCACCCTTCTCTCTCGCTCTCTCGTCACGTGTGTAGCTCTCTATCATACGGACGATTCTAAACGCGTTTTACATCGCGCCGCGCGATGCCGACGTATTAAGCGATTACGCGTCGGTTCTAACGTACGCAAAGTACGCGCGGACGTGTACGAGCGTATTAAAATCGCGCGGAAAGTCTCGCGCGAGTGCCCAAGAGCGTATCCACCGCGAATTCAGTTAAAGCGCGAAAATCGACGTGTGATTAAGTCACAGCCGGGGGAATAAACAATCACGCTAAAGTCCCGCGTAACGGTCTCGGATCGCCT